TATTGAAAATATTCTTGTTTTACTAGCATCCAAATCAATATATTTCTAATTATATTTACTAGTTTTACTATAATTAATATCGTATTATTAACATTAACCAGAATAGAAAGAAACGACGCGGTGTGCAAGAAAACCTAACCTGATCTAAGAAATAAATCACGAAGAATGTTACTACTCACGAGAGTGAGTTATCACTCACACACGCGGTCACTGTGCTCGTCAAAAATACTGCGTAATACAACCAGTCACTCGTGTCGATTCAGACCAATCGTCCTACGACATAATTGAGTGACCAGAGGAACCTCAAACGCATGCGACTCATAGTTCGATGAGGTTAGGATGTCATCTAAGCTGCCACTGCAAACTGTTGTCATCAGGAGAAGTCATCTAGGACGCCACTGCACAGAGGAAATCATCCTGGAAGCCATCAAAAGGCAGCCTGTAAAAATCTGTAGAAGCACGGAATATTATCGTATGTTCTTGAAAACGAGATCATTATTTAAAAATTTTCAGTATTATTTGCTACAGTGAACTTCGAAATTGTCATAATTTTAACATATACTAATAGAGATACATATAAATAGGCATTTCAAGAATTTAAGGATTAAGAACTCTTTAAAAGAAAAAGATTGGGACTATTAAACTTTAGTTTGATAGATACTTACTTTTTAGCTCTGAGAGCTCCGCCCAGTCGTTTCTTCGGATGGAGCACTGACTCTAATACCGGTAACGAATTCCAGTAAGAATAAAAAAATGAAAAGCTAGTAACGCGACCGTATATATTATATCCGGCGAACAAACACTGACTCTACCTTCGCGTGCTTTATTGTGAAATTCGTAAATATGTTTACATAAAGAGCTGCATTGCTCGGGAAAACAAGAAAAAAACTTGTACGCAAAAAACACTGACTCTACTGACCGCATTGCACGCAGTCAACAAACTCTCTGAAAGAAAAGCTTCATTCGTCAACCAGATATCTTAACAGAAGAGAGATATTAATTTATAACATGTGTATTGAAAAGAAACGAAATTGTGAAAGGATTAATTTAATTCGAATTCTATTGTGGAAGTTTGTAATATGATCTAAAGCTAACTAAACGCAAAAAGGAAAAAACAAAACAAAACAGTTCCTATATATTCTTGTGACAATTAGATAAAGTATCAAAGGAAAGTGTATTAATTCGTTAAACGAAGGTAGTAGGATATACGCGAATGTAAATAATACGTCCTGTCGACTCGACGCTCGGTAAGTGAATGACTTCCCCCCGTGACATTCTATGTATGACATCGTCCTCTAAGACTGATTGTATCACACCGAGTGAAGGAGCAGAGCACGCTTCACGAAATAACAATTCTGAGAAGTTAAGATGGAAAAACTATGCCTCCAGGCATCCGTGTTCGGCTGACTGCTTGGTGTTTACAATTTTTTGTAAACACAAGTTTCGCGGTCGCGTATGTTCTTCACGTCGAAGCTACACACGATAAAGAGATTGAAATATTCTTCTATTTTATATAACAATTCACGTCCCATTCGTTCAGCAACGATCCGATAGAAATAAATTAAAAGATTATGTGTCCACTTACACAATTACTGGAACAAATTGCTCCTGTCAATTTCCCACCGTTTTAGTCGATTTCGAATACGAGGTGTTTTGGAGTCGATACGGCGTCGTTTGAATGTTCCTTCTTTTCGAACCTTTAGAACAGTCAAAAACCTGTAACAGAATAAACAAACGTTCAATTTAAGGAAAATTAAACAAATATCAGCTAAAGGAAGCGATTAGAAACACTTAGAGATTGATAAATTAAATTTATAATATACCTTAATATCAGGCACGTAACGACTACATATGCTATCCAAATACGTCCAGAAGCAACTGACGAATCAACAACTGTCGTTGCTAGGAAACTGGATATAGGAGTGGGGGTAACCCCACTACCAGCCCACTTATTCGAAAATTTCCAAATATCGTATAATATTCTGGCATTAATTATACTTTAATCCCATTTGACTTTACTTGATAATAAACGGATACGTCATAATTTCTGTGTCACATACACCAGTATGATGCTTCTCTCTTTCTTGGCGGCCAAACTTCAAAATCCAGAGAATTTCGGAATAAATTAATCATCCAGATATCTCAAAGCTCCTTCGACGCATTTTAGTTGCTCAGAAATACAATAATCTCCAACACAATTAATGTCCACTTTTTAATTTGCTAATTTGATCAATGTCAACGTATGTACATACGTCCATTTGAGAGTAAAACTATCGCGAGTTGCTCTCGAGAGTCAAATTTATCAGTATGCACGATATTGAGAGTGCTGACGGAGAACTGGACACACAATTTAAGAGTACTCTCGAGAACAATTATCGTAAAAGACTCTCAGATGAACACGTACTCTTAAGAACAATAGCAATGTGCAGTAGTCACTTTTACCTTTTAAAAGGTCTCTATTGTTACACGAAACACCTTATTCAAAGTGTTTGTCGGTATAAATTTCGAAGAGACGTTCAGTATTTCAAACGTTCAGACGTTTTGTAATATGTCAATCTTTACTGTTAAAAACGCGACAATCCGATCGGTATAAAACACCAAATTGTAGAATAAATCAACGACATACACTTCTCAATATCACTTGTATTCACTTTCAACTTACAGAAACACGATTATTTTCAAAATAAACGTTCGTTTTGCACGTGATTCTCGCTGCGTTTAAGAACGATGGTCGGGAGTGTTCGGCAATGCTCGGGACTATTCGTTCAGCGGTTCTCTTTTCAAGTATTCTGGATACGAAGCATTCCATGTCAAATCGAACACTTTCTACCACTATGTCATAGATTTTTTTCAAACTCAGCATAATTGTTAAAAACTGTTAAAAAGTCGAATCAAATTTCTGATGACCTAACAAGGGAATATTTCGAAGTGATAATTGACATCGTGCGCAATTTCACGTAAAACCACGGGCATTTTAAATTTGACGTAAGTAGGGGCAAAAATGATACGTCAAATCACTGACGAGATAATTCTAATTCCAACCACTACTAATGTTGTAATCTTATTCTATGCTGAATCGGTAACGTTGGGAGCCACACGAAAATGGTAAGGTTCTTCTCGGCCCCCGTGCCGCAGACACAAAGTCCCATAAGATGTTTGCACTGCAACGTTTACCTTCATCGCAGTCTGAATGGGATTACACAATTTTTACAGACGAGATGTTTTCTTCGGCTGCAGACAAGATGCTTCGAGTCTGGAGACCCATATGGGAATCCAGATTCAATGATAAGTAAATATGTGGACCCATGTAGAGACAGTGGGCGCATAAAATGTGGAATGTGGGGGTTGGTAAGTACGCATGCCCCTGGGGAGCTGGTTAAAATTTCATCGTACATGGATTCTTTTGAATGTACTTATGTATTCATATTTTAGAAGACGTTTTGGTGCCCAGCGTCCGTGCAGTATATTCAAAAGAGGACATGCCCGTAATTGGACTGGTCCAGGACAATAGTGCAGTACACACCTCCGCAGTCGTACGTGTATGGTTCGCAAGGAATCTTGAAATCCAGGTCTTACAATGGCCAGCGAAATCGCCAGACCTTAACATCATAGAGAATGCATGGGCGCACACTGTTAAGAGCTTGCAACGCACTGACATTGCAAGGTCAAGGAAGAACATTATGAATCGTACACGTGAGAAACACTAACAAATTAACCATAATTCTTTGAACACCTAGCACAATTAATCTTAAACCGTCTAGATCAAATTATTGATAGAAATGGTTATTAGACTGATTTCCAAAAATATCTGATTATATAGGTCTCAAACGAAAATTGGCATTTATCAAGGCCTCGTTTAATACAACAGACATTACAAGTATGTAAAACATAAAATATATGAATATATTAATCTATATTATAAAGAAGAAACTTGTTTTGTTTAAAATACAACTGCAATTTGTCTCTAAGAGTTTCTGCGCGTGCGCCTTATTTCTCCAATATTTTATCGTTAATTACAAGCATTAAAAATGTTTATGAAATAAAATATGGCAATAAAGAAATCTGTATTTTGGTAATAAATAGTTCAATCTTGTTGTGATGATTGAACACGGCATCAATGTCTTTTCTTTTAACAGAAATATGTATTCTGTGTTACATTATTTGTAGCTGTATTTCTTTATTTCTACGATGATTTATATGTTGTGATGCGCCATTGCATTCATTTAAACAAGACATATAACTATTAGCTACAAACATATAATTCAAAAACCACTTCTCATGAAGACTGAATGGAATAGTACGAATTAGAATGTCGGTATGTTAGTTACCAATTCACCAACACCAAATAAATGCCACAATCATTATGACACAAACCGTTGGATAGCTGGTATCAGAATGATTTTCGTGCATCGTACGTCATTTCACACAGAACCACCGCAACTGTGTGTTTGTGTTAATTCTAAGAATTCGGAAAAGTCGATGCACCACAGTATATGGCGTACTGTCTTTCATATTCCTGTTATATCGTTCTTTTTAATTCAAGCGACAAGTAATAATAAACCCGTGACGATAAATCGTTCCCTACATGATTTTCTACACGATCGGTATTACAGAACATGAGGTACGAAGTCTCATAAGGTGATAGGTCTGCTCTGTATTTCGTTTATGGTGATAAGTCTGTTCTATATCTTATCTGTGTTATAATCGCGCAACATAAAAATGAATTAGGTGTTAGGATAGGTGTACTCTATACCCCGTCAAGTAAAAAAAATTAATTACCATATACATTTTATTTGCAGTAGGCTAGATGTCGCTGTAAAAATCCTAGGACTCTCACATGTTGACATGGGATTATAAAACATAACCTACAAAATACTTTGTAGACTTATTTTATTTTAATACTAAACCGTGAGACAAAATTTAAACGAACTAGTTTAAAAATTTTGATACTTATGAATATAGCTTAGAAGCACTTTAAGTGACTTAACTTTTGTAAAAAGATGTCAGCTCCGTGTCAAGATATCATTGAAGATATAGAAGATTTAATATCTTCACAAGATATTACACCCAAAGAGCGCTATAGTACAAGGAAAAATATTACTGTTCGTTCTAAAAGTAAACAAGTAACAGAAACAGTACCACAAATTCCAATTCTTAGTAGTATTGTGCCTGGAACGCAAACCATTTATGTAAAAACTTGGGGATGCACTCACAATAACTCTGACAGTGAATATATGGCAGGTCAACTTAGTAGTTACGGTTACAGATTAACAGAAAATAAACATGAAGCAGATTTATGGCTTCTAAACTCTTGTACAGTAAAAAACCCTGCAGAAGACCATTTCCGAAATGAAATTGAAACTGGAAGGAAATTGGGAAAACACGTAGTAGTTGCTGGGTACGAAAACTTCTTTGTACTTTATAATTACCACTTGTTTAGCCATGATGTGCAAGATATTATTTCTGTACATATCTATTTATAGTAATGTTAACGAGTTGACTGTTTTTTAATGTATTAAAGTGAACATTGTAATTGGTAAAAACATATTTTATTTGAAAAATAAAGTAAAACAAATTGACAATCTGATAAAATCTTAAAATTTAAGAGTTACTTTTAGTAAAATTTGGTACAATATCTTCTTTCAATCTGTTTACAAATAAAATGCGAATCACGTAATGACGAAATATACTTTTTTTTCAGGTGCGTACCACAAGGCGCTCCGAAGTCATCTTTCTTGCAAGGTTTGAGCATGATCGGCGTGCAGCAGATTGATCGTGTTGTAGAAGTAGTTGAGGAAACTCTAAAGGGGAATACGGTTCGATTTCTACAGCAGAAAAAGCAAGCTGGGAAAAAGATCGGTGGCGCCTCATTGAGTTTGCCCAAAGTTCGAAGGAATCCGCTAATCGAAATTATCGCTATAAACACAGGCTGTTTGAATCAATGCACGTATTGTAAAACGAAGCATGCAAGAGGTGAATTAGGAAGTTACCCACCTGAGGAAATTATTGAACGCGCAAAACAGGCGTTTGATGAAGGAGTCTGCGAATTATGGCTGACATCTGAGGATACAGGTACCTATGGCCGAGATATTGGCACAAGTTTGCCCGAATTGCTGTGGAAACTTGTCGAAGTGGTGCCTGATGGTTGCATGATCCGCGTAGGAATGACTAATCCACCGTATATTCTCGAGCACCTGCAGGAAATGAGTGCAATTTTGAGGCATCCGAAAGTCTACAGCTTCCTCCACGTTCCAGTGCAATCTGGAAGCGACCAGGTGTTGGCAGACATGAAACGAGAATACACTTGTGCTGATTTCGAGCAAGTAGTAAACTTCTTACAAGAACGTGTTCCTGGATTAACCATAGCAACTGATATCATTTGTGGTTTTCCAACGGAGACAGAAGATTATTTCGAGGAGACAATGGAACTTTGCAAAAAGTACAAATTCCCAAGTTTGTTTATCAACCAGTTTTTTGCTAGACCAGGCACGCCAGCTGCTCGAATGTCCAAAGTACCCACGCAAGAGGTGAAGAAGAGAACAAAAAGGTTGTCAGAATTCTTTCAATCTTATTCTCCATACAATAACAGAATAGGACTTGTCCAAGATGTGTTAGTCACCGAACTATCGCACGACAAAAAGCACTATGTTGGGCATAATAAATCGTACGAGCAGGTTTTGATACCCTTAAAAGAGGAATATTTAGGGAAAATGGTCAAGGTGAAGATCATAGAAACGACAAAGTATTCTATGAAAGGAGAACCAATAATCACAGGCACGTCTCCGGCATTGAAACCGTATTTACCAAAGGGAATTGTGTCTGGGATTCCAGTGGAAATGAAACCATCAAAATACAGGATAGCAGCGATTTTAGCAATCTTCCTCGCAGTCGTACTTAGGCTATTATGGAAGTTTTTAATGATTTAAAACGCAATTCTATTGTTACTTATATTGTAAATAAACGAAACGTTTTCATATTTAAAGCAAGGCTTGTTTTAAACTACTTCTATTCTTAACTTTTGGGCGCTGAAGAATTAAATGAGTCAAGAAACATATATGTAAATAACTTCTTTTTTATAATTTTTTAGACTTTTTATGTTTTACTGGATACATGTAAGTAAAATAATTGGAGAAGGAACAAAAAAACACCAACTTACTTTTTATTTCATTCTATATAGAACAGCTTCTTTTTCAGAATTTTCTTCAATTTGAATCAACTTCTTTTTAATATATTAAAAATTAATTTTCTAGGTGTTTCAATAAGCGTTTAAAACGTTCAAATCCATTTTAAGCAAAGTACTCTGAAAAATATTAGCAAAAAAGGCTACAACAGGTTACATCTGAAACGAAACACTTTGAGGCGAGAAAGATGGAAACGCAGATAAATAATCAATTAACTATATTTCAATTGACAAAATACAGGAACCTGCCCTGAATGGGCTTACAAAATTTTATCAGAACAACCCGAGTTACGCTAATAATCATCTATTTAAACAATAATGCCGAACATAATTTAACTTATTTCCAACGCTATGATTTAAATACGCTCATTGACACAAACCAATCTTAATAGAAAACTAATAGTACAAAAAGGAGCAAAAGAGTATTGAGCATTCTCGAATTAACCTACAATCGAAAAATAATAATCCTATGAAAAAAAAAAAAGGAGAAGAGAGTATACACTACTTGCTAAGACAATATATTTACTAGAAAAATACAAACCTCTTTACTTATTGCATTAACGATGCTCTTTTATTTGGTACCATCTCTTTCGATGCTAAGGTTTTGTTTTTCATTAAAATGTAGCTTATTCTCTAAAATTCTACGCAGCCATTGTAATTTCGTAAGTAATTAAAATTTAACGGTGAAGATATTGTATAACTCGCTAGAAATAATAAAAGAATTGTTTGAGCATGCTTGTCGTTAAACACGAAAGCGGAAAGCTGCGATTATCAAATTTTATTTCTCGCTTGTAACAAATTTTCTTTGAAATTCTTTTCCGATTCGTTCTGAACATCACGATATTCCGGCAGATTTCCTGATTAAACGTTCTTTAATTATATAATACAAAGGGAAATACAATTAGCATTTAGTTTATTTCTACCATTCTTTTTATTTAGCGTTGCCGTAACATTTTCATTTATCGTTATCGAAATACGGTGAAAACACGTATTAGTTTCTTCTTAACGAATGTAATTTAATACTTTCTCATCTTGCTATATTTCTTTACGCCATTCAATTCGAATTGGCGTGTACTAAAAGAATTACAAACAAAAAAATAATCTCTTGTGTTCTTCGCCTCGGCGATAACGAACGAACATAATATTACACGTTGGCGATTTATGATATTTAAGATGATCTAAAGGTACACCCGTTTACGAATAAAATACTTCATACGTCTTTTTTGCACGCGCGCATAATCACGCAAATTGGTAAATAAGAGAGCAAATGTTCAACTTATTGAAGGACGATCCACCAATGTTTTTCCAAGAATTGTTTGTGACAATTTCGCTTTAAATATTTCTCAGAATTTCAAATTTTCAATTTTGCAACTTCTGAACGCAGAGATTTTCAAAAATTTCCGATTTTCTTCTTTCTCTCTTTTTATTTAACAAAAACCTTCGTTTGGCTCTTTCTTCGTATCAATCCTCCAAAAAGTAATATCTATATACTATTTTAAAATATAAGGCACATTATTCTTTTCGTATTAACGATAAATCACTTAAAACGCTAATCTTAATTTAATTATATACCTTACGCACTATTTACACGATACTAAGTAGAAAAATATTTAGGAGGCCACAATTTACAAGTAAAAACGATTGCTTTCTTTTTTCTTCTTCTCGAGGATCTTGCCAAGTGTGTTATATATATATCGAATTTACACGTATGTTACAAATCTTTTTGCTATTTTTCTGAAGTAAGAAGAAAATTAGACCTGCAGCCTCGTTCACGAAAATTTTGGCATCCTTCTAGCTCGCTTTCGAAGGCAGTGTACTCCTCATACTTTCTCAACTGTTTTCGAGGCGACGGTATAATTAGCATAATACTATGTAATTAATAATAAAAATTGAATTTCATCGTTCGACCTAGATAGAACCTAACAATATGTACAACGCACTTAACCTTTTGATTATGTCTTTGAGCGTATTAATGATCATTTAAACATTATTTTAAACACTACGTACACTGGAATGATATTGTCCCATATCACAGAAATGTCGCGCGGGCTCGTTGCACCAACGTTATTCTGAAATCATATTTTTTGTTTTTCCTTCGTTTACTTTAATTAACTCTGTGTCACGGAAATTGCGATTAAGTTAGGAGAGAGAATTCTTCGTACTAAACTATGCCAGTGAGTTACGAGAAGACGAAGAGGAAGTATTGTGCGGCGCTCAGGAGTTTGCCCCCGGGGCGGCGCACGGGCAACAAAAGGGCACTTTGCCCGCGCCGCTTTTAAATTTGAACCCTTTGCGGTCCGGTGTCGAGTCACAGAAATTTTTGCCTTCAGATATCATACAACGATAAATTACTAATTATAAACGATAGTGAACCATTTTTTTATGCATTAACCCTTTGCGGACGGAGGACCATGTTCTTTTCAGTTCTTTTTTCTTCTTTTTTTTTTCAATCTAAATTTTTTGAATTCATGATCACTCCAACTATTTTTGTCGCTTAGTTTTGTGAACGCATATACTAGTCTGTCGTCTTCAAAAGGTTAATATTACACTGAAACTTAATATTGCGCTGAAATATTGAAATAAGGACAAACTACACGGTATTGCCCCACAGTGGCTAAACGAGTGCGGACTAATTGGACTATTTGGACCGCAAAGGGTTAAATATTCCGATACGTGGATGTTATAGTGTCGGCCAAAGTTGACAATAGTGCCCTATTTTTTTTATTGTGTCGGAGAAGGTGACTCTCACTCCTTCCAGGAGCAAACTCCTGAGCTCTACACAGTAAGTTGTTACTTTTGCGTGTTAAAAGATGAGTAATACATAAGTGGTTCGAAACCTTATGCTGCGAATTGTTTGGAAATATATTTAAGAAGGATAACCAATTTCTCTAACGAGTGTCACATCTATAAATAAATTAAGGTTAATTAAAATGTTATTTACAATTTCTTTTTCTTGCATTTTTCGCAGTTAAAATTATGTTAATGAATTATTCGTTAATATTTTGCAAAATACCGGTTAAATTGTTTAACGTAAAACAAAAGAAGCTTGTTAATTTTCTTTTTAAATAT